CTGGTGTTCTGATCCACATGTCTTCTGGTGTTCTGATCCACATGTCCACAAGTGTTCTGGTCCACCTGTCCTCGGTTGTTCTGGTCCACTTGTCTGTAGCAGGTGGGATGAGCTAGGTCAACAGAACTAGATTATGGTGGAGAAGTTGTGGATCCTCACTAACTGGTCTGTTAAGAAGTTTAGGACCCAGTTGCAAATGGAGGGACTTAATCCTAGTGTGAGTAGTTTGTCCTTCAGGGTTTGGGGGATCATGGTGTTGAAGGCAGACGTGAAGTCTACAAAAAGTGTACGGACGTAGGAGTCCTGGTCCAGGTGGGTGAGCGCAGTGTGGACCACAGAGGAGACGGTGTCTTCTGTTGATGGGTTTTCACGGTATGCGTACTGGTGAGGGTCCTCGTTGATGTTTGTTTTGATGTGGGTAATGACACGTTTTTTGAAACATTTATCAGGGTGAGGGCTACTGGCCAATAGTCATTCAGACCAGTCACTGTAGAGCTCTTTGGGACTGGGATGATGGTGGTGGTCTTCAGGCAGGTGGGAACTGTTGCCAGGGTGAGGGAGGAGTTAAAGATGTCGGCCAGCACCTCACAGAGCTGATCGGCACAGTCCTTCAGCACCCTCCCCGGGATGTCTGGGCCAGTGGCTTTGTGAGGATTAATCATCCTGAAGGTCCTCCTTACTTCTTCTGGGGTCACGCTCAGGAACTTCACACCAAATGGTGACTTGAGTCTGGTGCAGTGTGGTCTTTATGGGTTTTCAAAACAGGCATAGAAGCTGTTGAGAGCATCGGGCAGTGAGGGGTCCCTAGGGCATGGTCCACCTCTGCTTTTATAGACCGTGCTAGTTCTAGGGTTCCCAACCTGACCAGCGATGACGTGTCGTTGTTTAACCGCTGGGTGTCCAGGTGGTGTTCTGACAACGACGTGGGCTACAAAGATAACTGGAGTTCTTTCTGGAGAAAACCTGGTCTGATGCGGAGAGATGGCATCCATCCCACTTTGGACGGAGCCGCTCTTCTTTCTAGAAATATGCCTGATTTTGTTTATCCCCCAAATTATTGAACTGATAACTGATCATCATATTGATTTATTCTGTCTGACAGAAACTTGGCTACAACAGGAGGATTTTGTTAGTATAAATGAATCCACTCCTGTTAATTATTTAAATTTTCATGTTCCTAGAACAACTGGCCGAGGTGGAGGAGTAGCTTCTATTTTCAGTCAGGATTGTTGATTAAAGCCAAACCAGTTATTAGTTATGATTCTTTTGAATCTGTCCCTCAGTCTTTCTCATCCAAAATGAAAATCAGAAAAGCCACTTTTACTAGTTGTTGTATATCGTCCACCAGGCGCTTACTCTGTTTTTGTCTGAATTCTCAGAATTATTAACTGACTTATTATTAAATACTGATAAAATCATCATAATGGGTGATTTCAATATTCATGTAGATGTTGAGAGGGATAGCTTAAGCATAGCCTTTAATAATTTAATAGACTCATTTGGTTTTACCCCAAAAACATCTGAACATCAACTTATCACTCTTGACCTGGTTCTGACTTCTTGCATAGAGATTAAAGACTTAGTAATACTGCAAAATCCTGTTCTGTCTGACTGTTACAACCCTTGGCATACGTCTAGGAGGCGCAGGGTGTAACACAAAATTGTAAACTAAACATAAAAGGTAATAACTCAAAAACAACCCAACTTGGGATTACAATAATTGAATCTTGTAAGAGATTAGTGTGTTACAGACAGGAGGAGAAACCAAGAACTTCAGGGTCTCCAGGACCAAAACAACAATCAATAGAATGCCCTTTCTGGCTAGAAAACAAAATCACTTATCTAATGAAAACTACAATTCCTAAGCTCCCTAGCTGGCCACAAAGCAGGAGAAAGGTTGGTTAAAATAAAATGTCAGAGAACCCCTACCAAACTTCCCATCTAACAAATGATCACAGAAGTTAACAAAGATCAACTCAGTTCAATTCAGAGTCGACCACACTACACTGCTCAGAACCAAGTTGAAATGCCCAAGGAAAGAGAAGGCGTGGCACTGGATCAGAGAAGCTTTTATGAAGTCCACTGGTGATGAAGTGATTCCAGATGTGCAGCATGTTGAGAGCATGGTGACATCAGGCCTGTAAGCAAGCAAAGGAGGAGAAATGTCCTAGTAAGAGAAGCCCTGGAAATCAGTGGACGTAACACCAACCATTTTTTAATAACCTTTGAGTTTACATCAAATGACTACACAGTCACTGAGAGTAAATTTCATCTCAGCAGGTGCTTATCAGAAAATGCTGTAACCAAATTTAAACAATCTCTTCCATCAATGTTTTCCTCTGTCTTGCAGAGTAATGCATCAGAGAATGATGACTTAGATCATCTAGTTGATCATCTTACAACTTCAATGCAAACTTCGCTTGATAAAATTTCTCCACTGAAAAAGAAAGTAATCAATCGGAGGAAACTGGCTCCTTGGTTCAATTCTGAGTTACATACTTTAAAGCAGGCATCTAGAAACCAGGAGAGAAAATGGCGCTCTACTAATGTTGAAGAATTTTATTTAACTTGGAAAGATAGTCTGCTAACATATAAAAAAGCTCTCTGTAAAGTTAGGTCATCTGGACAGTTTCTTTTTTTTTCTGAAATGTTTCACTTTCCATCCAGAAGGCTTCATCAGTCAAGGAAACACACAACTCAAAACTGATTCTTCCCCCAAACAGCTTACTCCAAAGTGGAACAAACCAGTTATGTTGGTGCTAAGCAGTGATGACTTCATGAGATTCTTTCTCAATAAAATTATTTCAATTAGAGAGAGAATTCCCTGCGACCGGACTTCGGAACAAGCGGAAGATAATGGATAGATGGATAAAGAGAAACTTCAAAATATCCTTCTTATTGTTGCCTCTGGTTCAGGTCTCTCTTGTAAATGAGTCCTCGTGGTTCAATGGGACTAACCAGTTTAAATAAAGGTTGAATGGTTCTGTGTCAGATGAAGCAACTTAAAAAAATTCACTAGAGTCTGATTTATGTTTGGACAGTTTTTGTCCTGTTGAGCTCTCTGAATTGTCAAAAATAATAACATCATCCAAACCATCCACATGCCTGCTAGATCCCATCCCAACCAGACTGTTTAAAGAGGTATTTCCCCTAATTAATGTCCACATTTTGGATCTACTTATTTTTTTTTTTTATTCAACCTTTATTTAGACAGTAAATCCCATTGAGCCTCGAGGACTCATTTACAAGAGAGACCTGATTTCAACAAAGAATGATGACAACAATGGACAGTTACAAAAAGGCATACAGATTTATAAAAAAAATAATTTTTTTTACAAAAAAAATGGCAAAAAGAATAACAAAAACAGCTGGATTATAAGGCGAATGTAGAAAACTAAAAACAGGAACATGTCTGCATTGGTCCCTGCCAGGAGTTCAACATATTCTTAAAGAAAAAAAAAAGAGAGGTCAAGGTTGTCAGTTTGTCTTTAATGGATGGTTATGTACCACAGAGCTTTAAGGTTGCTGTAATTAAACCTTTACTTAAAAAGTCTGATCTTGATTCAGAAATTCTGGCAAACTATAGACCTATATCTAATCTAACATTCATCTCAAAAATTCTAGAGAAAATAGTTGCAGGTCAATTGCGTGAACATCTACAAAGAAATAATCTGTTTGAAGAGTTTCAGTCAGGGTTTAGAGCTTATCATAGCACAGAAACATCACTAGTAAAAGTAACTAATGATATTCTCATGGCCTCAGACAATGGACTTGTGTCTATACTGGTCCTGTTAGACCTCAGTGCTGCATTTGATGCAGTTGATCACAATATTTTACTACAGAGGCTTGAATATGATATTGGGATTACAGGAACAGCTCTAAACTGGTTTAAATCATATCTATCTGATAGATTCCAGTTTGTAAATGTAAATAATAAATCTTCTTCATATACCAAAGTTAGTCATGGAGTTCCTCAGGGCTCAGTGCTTGGGCCAATACTCTTTACTTTATATATGCTTCCATTAGGTAAAATTATTAAACAGCATGGGATAAATTTTCATTGTTATGCTGATGACACACAGTTATATTTGTCCATTAAACCCAATGAATCCAATCAGCTACTTAGGCTACAAGCATGTCTTAAAGACATAAAAACCTGGATGACCCTTAATTTTCTCCTGTTGAACACAGACAAGACTGAGGTTTTGGTTTTTGGACCTGAGCACCTTAGGAATGAATTTTTCAGTCTTTCTCCCTCCTTAGATGGCATTACTCTGTCCTCCAGCTCTAATGTTAAAAATCTTGGTGTTATTTTTGATCAAAACATGTCTTTTATCCCCCACATTAAAAACATTACTAGAACTGCCTTCTTCCACCTGCATAATATCACTAAAATTAGAAACATCTTATCTAAAAATGATGCAGAAAAACTGGTCCATGCATTTGTCACGTCTAGACTGGACTATTGTTATTATCTGGGTGTCCAAATACGTCTTTAAAATGTCTTCAGTTGATCCAAAATGCTGCTGCCAGAGTCTTAACTGGAGGATTTAGCAAAAAGGAAAGTCTTAAGCCTAGTTTTAAAACTGAATAATGTGTCAGCCTCACAAAGATTGGAAGTTGGTTCCACAAGAGAGGAGCCTGATAACTGAAAGATCTGCCTCCCATTCTGTTTTTGTAGATTCTAGGAACCACAAGTAAACCTGCCGTCTGAGAGCGAAGTGCTCTGTTAGGAAAATATGGAACAATAAGATCTGTAATATAAGATGGAGCTAGGTTGTTGAGAGCTTTGTAGGTTAGAAGTAAGATTTTTAATTCTATTCTGGATTTGACAGGGAGCCAATGGAGAGAAACTAAAACTGGAGAGATATGATCTCTCCCACTAACTTTTTGATAAATCCTATAGTTAGGGTCGGCTTGGGTTTCCTGAGCTGTCTGTTAATTATGCTGCTATAGGTTTAGACTGCTGGAGGACAAACTGACCACACTTTTTACTCTGCTGCTGTCTTTACTTACTCTGCTCAACATTTGTAATTATTTTTTCTATCCTTAATGTGTATTTTGTCTTTCAGATACACCTGGACTTATATCTGGACCTACCATTCTGTGTTCGTCTGTCTCTCCTTCCTGTCCTCTCAACCAGCCAGTAAAGCAGACGGCCTCTTGTCCTGAGCCTGGTTCTGTTGGAGGTTTCTTCCTTTAAAAGGGAGTTTTTCCTTTCCACTGTTGCCACTGTGCTTGCTCAGGATGGGAGACTGCAACGAAGCCAAGATTCATCTTGTCTGCTGGATTCCTTAGATAGAGAACTTTACTAATTGGCTTTTATGTGAATGTTTCTGTAAAGTGTCCTGACCTGAGATGACTTCTTTTGTGATTTGGCGCTATATAAATTGAATTATAGCTTTTAGCTTTAACATGTTGCTCAATGATCTAAGATCCTGTCCTCAGCTTTCTGTGCTCCATGTGTTACACACCAGAACACCAAACAGCACAGTGACTACCAGTCACCCTGTGAACAGGCGGACTGATTAAGGATTGACAGCTGTGATGCTGATTACAGGACACAGTTTAACACGTCCTGTGGTCAGATCAGTTTGAGTCTTTTTAAAGGTTCAAGGTTTCAGTTAGTTTTAAATAATCCTGTTGAAGCAGCTGCTTTGAATCTGTGGAGTTTCAAGTAATTTCAGGGCGCTGAAGGTAATCGTATCCTTATTTATCTCAGTGCTAAAACAGACACTTCACACAATGAATGTTTCCACCCAAAGTATTTATTTAGATTCTAAAAAAAAAAAAAAAAAAATCTACGGACATGGTTGATAAAACGTGGCTCAAAAGATCCTAAAACAGAAGTTTGATGGGGAATCGTTGCGCTGCATGTTGAGGGTTAACGGTTGAGGAAGAGGAGTGGACCGCAGCGAGGCAGGTCCTGAAGCTGGTTCCATCTCTGCCGGATCGTTTTGGTTCAGATCAGATTGTGACTTCTAGCAAACGTCTTTAAGGTAAGAAAGTAGAACTGTAATGAAAATAAACATTTAGACCTCGTCTTCAACAACAACCTTTAGCTGCTGCCGTCAGATTAACTTAGGATTGAATCAACTAAAGACTTTTGGGTTTAACTGTTTGGCAGCTTTAACAGTTTTTAATGAACATTTCTTGGTTCCAGGATGAGAAGAGTTTTCTTTCTGAGGTACAAACAGGTGAACCGAGGGAGGGTTCCCCCCAAAACACTAACCCTGTTTCATCTAAAGAACCCGGAGCTCGTCAGCAGAACCTTCACTGCTAAATCAGAAAGGACAACCGTACAAAAACAAAACGTTTTCCAAAAATAAAAACATTAGTCACATTAATACAGAAATAAATGGCACATTGAATTCCTAATTTAAGAAGAACGTGACGCTCGAGGAGCTGCTTTTGTATTGAGGAGACAAGTTAAATAAATTACTAGCATAAATGTTACATAAAAATCTGGAGTAGTATTTACAAAGGAGCTATTAGACATCAAATCTACAGTTTCTGTTCAAAGTGTATTTTACATCGCAGGGTTTGCAAAAGTGGGCCAAGTGGTTGTGTAACAAACCCTTCAGGTTCCAAAATGGTTCCTCTAACAGTCGGAGAACATCAGGTTTCTGAGAGTTTCCTCTAGCTCAGGGGTCTGCAACCTGTGGCTCTGGGGCCACATGTGGCTCCATGTCGTTTAAAACTAGGACAGGAATGAATCTTTACTGTTGGACTGAAGCAGCTCTAACAGAACAAAGGTCATTTAAGGTCGCCTCGTTAATTTACCTCCCAGTCGACTTCCTCTGAATCCATAAAAATTAAACATTTAACAAATTAGAAACTATAAATGCAGAATAGAAACGTAATAATACTGGTAATATGTTAATGGTGAAATTGTCTCTGCAGTTAACCCATCCACCACCAGGTGGAGCAGTGGGCAGCTATTGGAAGAGTCTGGGGCTCAACTGGGGACGAGGTGTGCTGCTCAGAGACACCACGAGACGTTCAGTGACCGGGGATCAAACCTGTGCACAGACAATTTCACCGCTGTATGGGATCATACATCATTATAAGAACTATAAAGGTTATTTTTCAGTTTTTAAATTGTTTAGTAATCAGTCCCATTTTAAAATCCACGTCTTGTTTGGAGTTTCATAAACTGACTGGGATGCAAATATTTATTGTTTTGATTTCAGAGCAGTCGGTTGAATGGTTTATAAAAATCTTGAGGATCCTCATTAGTTGAGAGGTTCAATGTTTTTGGCTCTTTGGTCTTTTAAATGTAAAGTGTGTGATGAAAGCTGGCTCAGTTCTTCAGACGTATCAGGGCCGCGCCGATGATTAAAACAAGCGGACCCAGATTCTTCTGTTTGGACAACAAAGTCCAGAATAATGGAGGAAAAAAGATGACCTTTGATTGACAGAATGTTAGCGTCAGACAAAAGAGGAAATATTATTCTCTAGAAATCAAATGTAGCCCTCAAAGAAAATCTTAAAACAAGTTCAATGTTGGGAGTATAAAGGTGAAGCCCACCGTGCTGCAGTTCTTCTTGTACCCGACACTTTTTACACCATAACTTTAAAACGTCTGAGGATTCACCTCGACAACACTGCAGACTACTCGGTGCGTTTGAGATTAAAGTCCATTTACACTTTAATCCCAACTCTAATCTTGACACGCTGTCCATGTCAGAATATAAAACTGATGTTTTCTGCAGTATTTATATAAAATCTAGTATAGTTACATTTTTTGCATTTTATTTGAATCTTCAAGCTGGTTTTGTGGCTCTGGACACATTCTTTGAGTGGGTCCAGTGTCCTGAAGGTTGCAGACCCCCAGCAGGGTTCATCAGGTGAGGATGAAGGCTGCAGAACTAAGACTCGCTGTGCAAATCTCCCCTGGCCCAACTCAAAATACTACTCAGGTAAAGGAGGAAAAAAAACACAAAAAATACCTAAATGTCCTTTTACAGCTCGTTTCCAACGCTCGTGCAGCGCAACAACAAATACTGTCCAACACGTCCCACGATGACTGTTCATGTGTCCCTCGTCACATGGCTCGCCTCCCTGACCTCCTGAAGATGAAAACATTACACCCGTCCTTTTCCCTTCAGCATCCCTTCAAAGTCTTAAGCATAGTGGTTGTCGAGGGCCGAGGAGCCGAGAGTTTGGTTCCTGTAAGCACGGAGCTCACAGAGCACCACCTTCAGAGGACGGCTGGATGAGCCGCTCAGTTCTGCCTGGACCAGTTCTGCCTGGACCAGTTCCTGATGGTGGACGAGAATCAAAAACTAAATGAAAGGAGAGAAATGCTGAAAGAAAAGGAAATCCTTCATGAACCGTTGCAGGATGTGGGCTGCAGAGGACTGGATGAAGACTCTGGCTGCAGAACATCATTCCTCTCCCAGTGTGTGTGTGTGTGTGTGTGTGTGTGTGTGTGTGTGTGGGGTAGTTGATCAAGGGGCAGGTGGTGGTTAGAGGTGGAGGGTGTGAAGGACCGTCGTGCTGCAGAAATGCTTGAATCAGTTTTGTGCTCAGACAGTTGGGGAGGTGGCCCTTTGAGCATTTTTTTTCTTTTCTTATTTTATAACAAAAACAGCTGTAACATCAAATGATTAGTTCACTAGTGAACACAACGGAGTGGTGAAGGCCCCTCCCAGCAGCAGTCTGCTCCTTTCTCGCCCTTTGTTTTTGGAGAGTCCGACTCGCTCACGCGTCCGACAGGCAGCTCTGAATATTGTCCATCCACAGCTGGCTGTTGGTTACGTCCTGGGCGCAGAAGTTGTACACTCGCCTGTTGGTCTTCAGCTGAAGTTCAGACAAAAAAACACAGAATTAGAAAAAGTGCAACCAAAAGACTTCCTCTGATTCCACTGACTGCAGATCAGCCTCTTTGTCCACATTTTGTCACAACCACAAGCTTCAAAGTATCCACCACATGTTTATGGCCAAAATGTATGAAGATAAATCAGTCTCAAAAGTACTCGCACAAGTACTACACATTTGCACAAGTAGGAATATTCTGTGCAGATTCACAAAGATAATGCTGCATTCAAGGTTGGTGAAAAGCTGGGACATCTGAGCGTTACCAGATTTACTGACTTATTGGAAAAAAGACTTATTTCTAACCTGGCACTCATAACACTTCTATTAAAATGCATCTATATGAAAACATCTCTATATGAAAACTCATCTATATAAAAATACAACTATATGAAAACACATCTATAAGAAAACTCATCTATATAAAAATACATCTATATGAAAACACATATATAAGAAAACTCATCTATATAAAAATACATCTATATGAAAACGCATATGAAAATGCATCTATATGAAAACATCTCTATATGAAAACTCATCTACGGTATATGAAGACATTTATATGAAAACATCTCTATAAGAAAACTCATCTACAGTATATGAAGACATCTATATGAAAACATCTCTATAAAAAAACTCATCTATATAAAAATACAACTATATGAAAACATGTGAAAATGCATCTATATGAAAACATTTCTATATGAAAACTCATCTACGGTATATAAAAAGACATCTGTATGAAAACACATCTATATGAAGACATCTATATGAAAATTCATCTATATAAAAATACATCTATATGAAGACATCTATATGAAAATGCATCTATATGAAGACACATCTATATGAAAATGCATCTATATGAAAACATTTCTATATGAAAATTCATCTATATAAAAATACATCTATATGAAGACACATCTATACGAAAATGCATCTATATGAAAACACATCTATATGAAGATATCTATATGAAAATGCATCTATATGAAAACATTTCTATATGAAAATTAATCTATATAAAAATACATCTATATGAAAACATATATATGAAAATGCATCTATATGAAAACATCTCTATATGAAAACTCATCTACGGTATATGAAGACACATCTGTATGAAAACACATCTATATGAAGACACATCTATATGAAAATGCATCAATATGAAAACATTTCTATATGAAAATTCATCTATATAAAAATACATCTATATGAAAACACATATATATGAAAATGCATCTATATGAAAACATCTCTATATGAAAACTCATCTACGGTATATGAAGACACATCTGTATGAAGACACATCTGTATGAAGACACATCTGTATGAAAACACATTTATATGAAAACATCTGTATGAAAACAGCTCTATATGAAAACATCTATAAGAAAACATCTACATGGAAACATCTATATGAAAACACATCTACATGAAACTATCTATATGAAAACATATCTATATAAAACATTTATATGAAAACATGTCTATAATAAAACATTTATATGAAAACACATCTATAATAAAACATCTACATGAAAACATATCTATAATAAAACACATCTACATGAAAACACATCTATAATAAAACA